ACAGAGCTGGACAACACGAAACGAGTACAGGATGATAGCGCTGATTACCAAAAATTGATAAAGAAATAACAGAGTCAGAGTGTGGAAATCAGGTTTAATTCTTACACTGATCTAAACTACGACTGGACAGTCAAATGCTTTACAAATCGACTCTTCAGGTGTCGAAATTAGTTTTACTATCAAGCAAATGTCTTTTCCTATTTAACTTAGGATCACTAAGGAAGTTTACCGTAGAAAAGCGAAAATACGTAGTTTACTAGTATAAATAACTCAATTGTATATATTTTGTAGACAAAGTAAATAAAAGGAATTCTGGCTTTGACTACATGGGACTACATGCACATTTGGAGTAATATATACACGCTTCGTTGTCTGGGCTTCGAGGGTTGTTTTTTAGATACTCCGATTTTCCTTTTGCTAAAAACTAATTCTTCCTCGTGTGCTCTATTGCCTATATGTACGTTTGTGTGGGTATTGAAACTATGCCAATATCCGTTTACACGCGGTGCGATTTAATTTGTTGATCCAATTTCGGGACATTAATGGAAACTGTCTCTATAAACAAGACAGCTGTCCACTGTATATCGCCCATTACTGTAAATGGAAAAGCAATAATATAATATTTTATGCGTGCTCGAGGATTGCTAGAGTTGTTTTTGGTGGGTTTTTGTAAATGGAAATTTTGTGCGAGAATATAATTAGACTTGACCGAAAAATGCAACGTCTTCTGTGCGGGTTTTTCTTTAGAGACTTCGGTTTTCCTCTGAGTAAAAACTAAGACAAAACTAAAGACCGTTTGATAAATCAGTTGCGACAGAAGAGCGTAACCCTTCCAGAAAGGAAGTGTGCCTATATTAGGAGCGATTTTGAGGCGGCCATTTTAGAGAGAGCAATGCGACTGTGGCTTGTGTAATAGCAGCTGGTGTAATCTGCCCTCTCGGAATCGCCCATTATTGTCAATGCAATGCCAAAGGAGGAAATATAATACAATTCTCTGAAAAATATAGTTTGAAGCAGGCAAACTTTTACTAACTTCTAGACGCAGGGCATTTGTTCGTATAACGTTAAAGTTCTTGTCATATTTTTCAGGTCATTTGATCTTGTAATTCCGTAAATAATGAAATATATAATATTTCCTGTACTGTAGTGTCCTCCCTTGCTACGACTATACGTGCTTGTCTGTAGCCGTAGCAGTTGAAAACGTTTGCTTTCTTGTCTTTACAGTTCTTTCAAGATGCAAGAAAATTAACAAATTAAAGGTACACAACTTCTACAATCTATAAAGTACAAAAATATTGGTAAATTTTGGTTCCAAACAGCGACGGAAGTATTTCTATTGGGACCAGACAGAAGTTAGTATTTAGTTTATATAAGTGTTCATAAAGACATTAGATGGTGATTAACTTCAGGAATGTTGACAAAGATACAGGAGCCGAACTGAGAAAATTAAACTACATCTCTCAATTTTATTTTTAAGGATTTGCGAAGCAAAATCCTTTATGTCATCGGGTTTGTAAGATGTAAGTAGATAATTGACGTTGAGTTCCAAGTCGAGAATTCGTGAACTGCCGGAAGTTATTATACGTCATAACTGTTTAGTAACAGTAATATTCGCGATCTTTCAGCCAAATATTAAACCCGCTTATTTTCGTAAAATACACCAACGACTAAACATTTTACAATTAGTTTTGTGCTAAACGAAGGAATATATGACTGTTTTGTACTAGAAATACAAGTGGAAAAGGTCCTAAAAGACAAATTCGTAAAACTAAAATAAAAGGTGCAGGTGTTCCATTAAGAAAACTGTATTTATAAAAAATGGGACAAAGCAACCATTTTGGCGATTGATAATCATAAGTTCTCTCGCAAAATGAGAGAGTCGATTGAAATCGAGAAGCACAATACTTATAGATCAGGAGGGAAAGCCACTAGATAGTACATGGCGTGTTGTCTTTATTAAAATGACCCATAAGGCTATAAACTCATTGTTTCTGCTAGGTTCGGCACATGAAGAGTTTGACGTTTGTTCTTGAAACTACGAAATGAAGTAGACTTCATTTGCATGATGAGTTTTCTCATTATTTGACAATACTGTGGTGTCTGCTGCAGTTGAAACATACACTTTTTGTCTTGGTATAGTCTTGGTATAGCCCTGGTTTTTTGTTTAACCATTTCAGCTTTCATTCAAGTTATAAGAAAACGAACAAAATAAAACCCAAATAAAAGTCTACATCATATCGCATCATATAGACTACAAAATATTGAGTATTGGCAAAGTTGGATGTTAACAAAAGCGGAAGTGGTAGGCGGACAAAAGTAAACAATAGACCTTTCTTATAATGGCGTCAAACGCGGAAAAACCATTGGGAAAAACACTCGATGTGATGTACCGAGTGACAATTTTTAGCGACAGTTCGCAATGCAAATGACGTTTTTATGGATTTTATATATTGGCTGGCCAACGACTTGCATTGCGAATAGTCGCTAAATTGTCGCTAAGAATTGTCATGTGGGACATCGCATACTGATGTTCGGCCGCATTCGACGTCGTTATATTAGAAAGGTATCCCTTCCACAACAGAAAAAACTAGCATTATTTTCTCACTCTGATAACTGTAGGGTAATTGGTTACGCCATATTGACTAGAGGACCTCGGCAAACCTTCGGCTCGGTAGGTTTGTATTGCGCTAATGAAGGTCTGGGCTGACAGATCAAAAACTAGTTGTATGTTGTTAGTTATAAGTGAAAGTTTGCGTTCCATTTTAAAGGATGATTCTTTTGTTCAAATTCTAGATGGCATCGAGCAAGTATTCTGAACACTGTTTCATTATTTGTCTTCTTGGTTTAACCAGTGTGACCTATGTAACACTCGGCGACTCAGGTATTGCAGGAAAGCACGGGGTTTCGATGGCGCAAACGTCAGATCAAGCGCCTTGAGGTCGTGGATCAATCAACGCTCTTATTTAGTTTTTCTTTCATTTACTTTACGCATGTTTTATCACATAATATAAAGTATACTGTGTATAATTTTGCTGTGGTATATCATATTATAATGTAATCTTTTACTGTTCTAGTTATTCTCTCCTACTCAATGCCAGTTGGACAAACGATCAGGAATGGCAGAGTGCACTACAAAGACACATCTTATAATGGAGTAATTATCAATGGCTTTCACAAAAATGGCACTGGAATACTTATAGATGGCAAGTTTGGTCCTGCTAACGCAAAATTATTAAAAGGCGATGGATGGGTGGGATGGTCTTCCTTTCTTACTCAATCACAATATATCGACATCACATTTGAGTTTTCTAGTGTGCGAAAGTTCACAAATGTTATACTAACTGCGAACGTTGACAAGAAACGTGATAATGCTGTATTTAATAGATCACAGATATTCTTCTCTTCAACCCAAGACAGTCTCTCAAACGCATCATTTCTTCAGTACTGTCCAAGAGATTTTCAAGCCAAAAATGATCCATACAATGCAAATGTAACGTTGTCACTTTGTGAAAATACTGCAAGATTTATAAAGTTGCGGTTATATTTTAGTGGACGGTGGTTACTAATCTCTGAGATCAGCTTTAATTCAGGTATTTTTTGTTATGTTTGTTTTTAATTTCTATGGACATTTTTAACCCAGCGAGTGGCGATAAGGGTCCCAACTGTCAGATAGTTTTACTTGTCAGAGAGATTGCTTTGCACTAAGCATGGTTTCCTGTTCCTGTGAACATATCAAGGTAACCAGTGTAATTAGTGTTGATTTTTCATTTTTTCTCTATAGTCAGTAAATACTGATTTATACAAGCAGCACACAAAAGACAAGATAGATCCAGGCTATATTTCACATGTAATGTAATAGAGTGTCGATATATCTCTACAGTCAGTGAAGACAAATGATTTTATTCATGAAGAAATCTTTAGTTTTGTAATTTGAATGTACTCTGTACGTAAAACATATGTTTTTGGTTTCATTGACATTGCTAGTTCCTGTCAGTACTGATGAAACAATGAGGGATTGCTCTAGAAATACAGCAGCTGGTTGTACAGCGACTCAACTTTCCACAGAAAGTTCAGCAACTACACCAATACCTGGATGTGAATGTAAGCGCGGTTATATGTGTTGGTAATGGTTGCGTTGGTGGTAATTAATATTATTATGGTGATCGTAATGGTAATGGTGGCCATTTTACATTCTTTAGATTGTACCACTCTAACTATCGTTACCAATGTAACGGCCAGTTTACCAGCAGAAAGTTCGTCTGGCTCAAGCAACCTTCAACTAACAATCATCATTGTCTGTATAATCCTGATTGTGATTGTTCTGTTGGTTGTAATATTCCTCCTGTATCGCAGACGAGCACTGTGCTTTGGTAAAATGAAACAGAGAAATAAGACAGACAAGAACGTAGAGGATGCAAAGGAGCCGGCTTATGATACAATTAACGATAACCTGTGTAAGTAAGAAACAACCCTTACTGGACTTTAGAACAGACGAAACTATGCAGTGTATAAATAACGTTAGTTTAACCTCTCAAAGTAAATCTGTTCGCCTATAGGTGATATGGAAAATGAAAGGGCACCAGAGGCATCACAAAATAATCAGGTATAAGTGTTTCTAAGTTTTCTGCAGGCGTTTTTTTCATAATTAGATAGGTTTAGAACTACCTCTCACAGCCCTAATACGCATTTGATTGCTTAATTGGCTATAATAAATGCATCTGATTGGTTAATGATATACAGTAGAGGTAGTCAATGTCGTCAATGTCAATTGACGTCTGAACCTCTTTCTTGCAGTATATCATTCCATTTCTTGTCGAACTTTCGGCGTTCATCTCGCTCTTGCACCATGAACGTTCACATCTTACCATATGATTCCTGTGTCTCCAGGTCTTTCCACGCTTCTCTTCCACACACTTATTTGCGATCTTCGGACGTTTGCCATCCTCCATCCTCATGGTAAGACCAAGCTAAATCAGCATCCTTTTTTTTGTTAATACAGGAACCTGTTTATAGTGCAGCAGATGATGGAACTGAACCATACGAAGAAGTTGAAATCTCGCCACCTTCTGTTTACGCCGAGCTTGACAGAAACCGACAAGACGAAGCAACAAATGATGGTGCTCTACCAGAAATTGATAAAAGGCCAACATGACTCGGGTTATGTTATTCCAGCAGATGGCTCGCCATCTTCTGTTTACGCTGAGCTTGACAGGAAGCGACAAGACGAAACAACAAATGATGGTGCCTGCCAGAAATTGTTAAAACGAGAAGGTGACTCGGGTTATGTTATTCCAGCAGATGGCTCGCCATCTTCTGTTTACGCTGAGCTTGACAGGAAACGACAAGACGAAACAACAGATGATGGTACCTACCAGAAATTGTTAAAACGCGACTCAGATTATGTAATACCTGCTCATACTGAAGCAGAATCATCATACGAAGAGGTTGGAAAGATAAAAACACCCCCTGGCTACAAAGAGCTCGACAACACGAAACGAGTACAGGATGATAGCGCTTGTTACCAAAAATTGATAAAGAGATAACAGAGTGTGGAAACCAGGTTTAATTCTTCCGCTGATCTAAAACTATGACTGGACAGTCACATGTGCTTTACAAATCGAATCTTCAGGTGTCGAAATTAGTTTCACTATCAAGCAAATGTCTTTCCTATTTAACTTAGGCTCTCTAAGGACGTTTACCGTAGAAAAGCGAAAATATACGTAGTTTATTATAGTATAAATATTCATATCTCAATTGTATTTATTTTGTAGACAAAGTAAATAAAATAATTCTGGCTTTGACTACATGAGACTAGATGCACATTTGGAGTAATACACGCTTCGTTGTCTGGGCTTCAAAGGTTCTTCTTCAGATACTCCGCGGTTTTCCTCTTGCTAGACTTTCCTCGGAAATTAGGAGTGCGGTGCGATTTAATTTGTTGATCCAATTCCGGGACATTGGAAACTGGCTCTATATAAACAAGAGAGCTGTCCGTTTTCGAAAGAGCCGTTTCCACTGTATATCACCCATTTCAGCCGTTTCCACTGTATATCACCCATTTAGAAAGAGCCGTTTCCACTGTATATCACCCCGCAGGTTCGAATCTCAGTGAGAACTTCTCAATGTGACTCGAACCCAGTCCTCGTGTGAAAAGAGTAAAAAGTCAACGCTCTGCCGGAAGTCGTGGGTTTTCTCCGGGTACTCCGTGTTTCCTCCCACAGGGAAAGTTGACAGGGTGGGTTAGGCACATAGGTCTGGAGGCAGATCATTAATGAGGTACGGACTAATAGCGGCTGCTCAAGCGCCATTTGTAAGCTCAAAGTCTACCTCGGTCTGCTTCACGTCAGTCTGGTTCTATCTATCTGTTCATAACGTAACCAGTCACTGAAAAGCCCTATAGGGAGTGTGCTGTGAAATATCTGTATCTGTACTGTAAATGCAGGGTTTATTTTAACGTGCAGTTCTACACAAAATGTGCAGTTCTAAACCAATTTGTGCAGTTCTTAAAACACAAATGTGCAGTCACAGATGCCCCAGAAAATTCTTTTAGAGTTCGAGTTTAGAGACAGTTCAAGACTCAAAAGATGAATTACAGTTTTTCTTGCTACAACCATTCTGATAGGAGAAAAATCGTCCACAAGTTGTTCGATTGCCCGTCATTTGGATGAAAAGTCACGTGATTTCAAACAAAGAATAGCAGCTGGTGTAATCTGCCGACTCGGAATCGCCCATTACTGTAAATGGAAAGGAGGAAATATAATACAATTCCCTGAAAAATATAACAAGAAATTTGAAGCAAGCAAACTTTTGTCAAAGTTTTTGTCATATTTTTTTTTAGGTCATTATATTTGATCTTGTAATTCCGCAAATAATGAAATATAGTATTTCCTGTAGTGTTCCACCCATAGGTTCCACCCTTGTCATGTTACGTGACCCGTCTTCATTCACATGACAAGACTTCTGCTTCCTTGTTGAAGTGACAAGCTCTGTCTGTAGCCATAGCAGTTAAAAACGTTTGCTTTGAACGTATGCAAGAAATACATTTTGGTTCTAAACAAAGACGGAAGTAGTATTTCTATGGTGAGAGGACGGAAGTTAGTATTTAGTTTATAACTGTTAGTAGTTATTAGGTGGTGATTAACTTCAGGAATGTTGACAAAGATATACAGGCGCAAGAAAATTAAATTATATTTCTCAATTCTATTTGTTATCAAGTATAAGACTACTACTATATATAATGAAACGAATTACAATCAAAAAACAAGAACACAACCGCTTTTGTAGTCTGTTGACATTTTCTGTAATTTAATTGTTCTGTATTACTGGAGGGTCCTGAAGGCGGGGTCCCAATCCCATTTCCCACCTAAAATTTTGACAAAATCCCAGTCCCAGTTGGATTTTTATTAGAAATCCCAGTCCGAGTTATTGAAATCCCAGTCAATAAAAAACCCCTTTATTTATCGGTACAATAAACAGTTTTAAGACTTTTAAGCCACCGTGTGTGCAAGTGGCGAACACTTTATGAAATATTGGGGGAGGTTCGTGCCGAAGGCACGGAAAATTTTAAAATTTGAATCCCGGAAATGGCATTTGCAGCATTCTGAGACATGCATAATCAGAAAACCCAGAATTTCGGGCGCCAGAGTATGCCTGTTCTCAGGTAGTGCTGTGAATAATATAGTTAACAACAAAAATCATGACCAAAGACACCAAAAACGGATCAAAATTGTATTTTAAGATACTCAAAACGTAGAAAAATTGGGAATCGACTCGCATTACCTCAATCCCATTCCCATTTTTGAGGACTTCATTTCCCATTCCCAGTGGCCAAATCCCAGTCCCAGCAACCCAAATCCCATTTTCCCAGTCTAAAAATAGATCAATCCCAGTTCCCATTTTACCCCTTCAGGACCCTCATATAGGTATGTATGTAGGTTAGGTCTGTAGACCTTGTGCATGCAAGTTAGCGCTTTTTACAACGTGGCAGAGATTTTCACGTATCTTGTAAACCGCAAATACGTTACGTCCCGACAAATAGTACTACAAATTTGCCCAGCAGAAATGGTTTTAACCAAAAAGCCTTTGTTTTAACCTCCTGAAACTGTATTAAATTCAACTTTTTCACAACAATTTTTTTGAAGAAGTCTGTTTTGGCTGTCGTCGTTGCGTTGCCGTCGTACATGCTTAAAGTGAAAACTATTGCCATTTGGAGGCTGCTTTACACTATCAAAGTTTCTGTGATCACACTAGGCGTTTTGCTGAGGTAGATTCCTAAAACTCGAACTCGGACCGACCAGACCGCGTAGCTCAGTTGGCGGAGGATTGGGCTAGTATTCCAAAGGTCGTAAGTTCGATTCCCATCGTGGTCAGGCATATTTTTCAAGCTTGCCCGGTGTGGATATACACTCAGAGTAACATCACAGGCATCATATTCACCTGAGTACATTACACCAACACAGAAAAATCATGATTATTATTAGATAACATTGACATCGAAGGAACTAGATTCTGTTCCAAAATATCACATACTCGAACCGACCTGACCGCGTAGCTCAGTTGGCGGAGCATTGGGCTAGTATTCCAAAGGTCGTAGGTTTGATTCCCACTGTGGTCAGGCATATTTTTCAAACCTGCCCGGTGTGGATATACACTCAGAGTAACATCACAGGTGATCAGGCTACTGATTCACCAAGAACTGTACTAGAATATACTATACGCTCATATTACTTTACGTACTTGTCGATTGACTTGCGTTGATGGTAAGATAGTGGGTTGTGATTTGCTAACGACTGCCACAGATTGCACAGGTTTCTGCACTTGCCGTACAACTGGTGGGTTGACTATGGCAGCCGCTGCTGCTGCATTCTGTTGCTTCGCCATACGTAGAAACGGTAGTGTTGACTGAAGGAATAAATTAGACAACATCAAATTTAATGAAACAGAATATTCTCAAAGTTATACACATATAGAAAGTTATAGATTTTCTTTCTTTGGAAAATCTAACAGGTTTATATAAACCTGTCAAAGCTGTCTGAATCTGCCCTGACTGCACTGTGCCACAAACACCAGCACTTTAACGTCTTTCTACAACTATAATAAACACAGAAAATGTATTCTACAAGCGTAGTTGCATTCTGTATTGAATCAAATGTACATACCTTCAAGAAATGAACAAGATTAGGTTGTGAAGGTGAACTCAAGGTTTTTTCAAGTTTTGCAGTGAAATCTTCCTCTGTTAATTTATTGTCCTGAAAATGACAAAAAACATTCTTGTCCTTTCAGTTATTTAGTTTAGTTAATTACACAGTTGTACAAAGGACTTATATAAGTGCTATCCTTGGTCAGTGATTTTTACAACCCCTATCTAATATCTGACAGAAATGGTTCATATAGGTCAGGATGTGCAATTTGGGACCACCAATGTAGCTGATATTAAGAGCATCATAAATCATCAGGTGATGCTGACATGATGAATGGTTTGGTGGTGAGCAAAAAAAATGGATGCAATTGGGCATTCAAAATTCTGGGGGGAAATTATTCTCAATGTTTCCCTAAATATATTAATATATTTGAAATGAAATATACAGTAGCTTCAATTTTCAATATTATTACACATTTGACATATTGACCAGTTTTATAGTGTACAGTACCTGTTGAATGAAAGTGTCATTGTCAAGTAAAGAAGCATAGTGGCACAAAACTCACAAAGCTAGGGGTGTTTGAAAAATCGTGAATGTGCTTTAGGTGACTGAAGAGATACTTAGTCTAACAAAATTGAACACCCTCTTTCAGGATCCTGGCTAAAAGCCTGGTGGTGAGTATCTGGTCCTCTCCATGAGATACACACCACTGGGTGAATATGCTGATCTTAGAATAAAACTGGATAGAATATTGACTATGTAAAAGGCTGTTGCCGGTCATTAACCCATTTAGTTGCATTACACCCTAACATGCTCCACTTTATTATTTTACTCTGACTAATGCCAGACGATCTTACTCATCCAGGGGAGAGTGCTTTTCACTCAACAGGGCCTGAAATAACATTCCCAAAGTTCCCAATCATGATGATCGGGAGTCATGACTTTCCCTTCTTTTTCAGGTTGGAAACCCTGCTTTTCCGCCAATCATAAGCAATTTCTTGCTGATCATTGATCAGCTCTTATTTCAAGCCCTGCTCAATGGGTTAACAAGAAACCAACTGATGATCTTATAGACAGATCCAAAGAGATGCAATGGCAAGGTTTTTCATCTCCTTGCAATTTCCTGCACCTCAGAGGCATTCTAACATCTACCAGTGGTACCACAATTTTCATTATATAATTTAAGCATTCATCTGGTTAGGGCCAAATGAGGTGAGAAATGAGTAATTTTAACACTATAGTATAAAAAATTAACACTGTCTTATTCTTTGCAAAGCAAACTACTCAATGCAACCAGTGTGGATTGTAACAATCAGCAATCAGCTACTTGCCAAACAAAAACACTAAATGGCCAATTAATTTTATTCTGTACAGACATGTTGACTCATCAGATAAAATATGCAGTTTTCAATTGTTAATAAATCAAGTAAATTGTTTTTCAAAAAGCATGCAAGCAAAAGAACACAAAACATTTTTTTGGCTTTGCCGTGATGGGTAACATTTTATTGTACCAAGTTTGTGATACCAGACATGCAGAAAATTTGAAAACAATAGCGACCTAGCACTTTTTAGTTGCATGGATCATTGGAACCACTTACCGAAAGTTAACTATGATTGGTCATGCGGGTGATCAGCACATCAAGTGATCAGCATGACCAACCAATGTAAATATTGAAAAGCTGGCCCACCATTGCTGAGCAATGTCTGAGCAACTACAGCAGACATTGGTCAGAGTCAAGTGACGTTGTGATTATCCACACTGAATACAACACCACATCAACAATAAAATACAGCTGATCAACTCAAATTGAGAGAGGCTGTAGACTAAACATTCCCTGTCCTTACCATGACAGCCTTTATAAGTTCCTGAACAGCTTTTCCAATCTCGTGCGATTGTGCAGTTGCCAGGGTTATTAACCTTGTGAAGAAACTTTGTAATTTCACAACTTGCTCTTTTACTCGATGAACCTGCACTTGTGCCGCCGCACGGTTTTGCGCAGCTGCCGTATTGCTGTGCTGAGTAACGACCGTACCTGCCGGTTCAGATTTAATTGCCGCAATGTGTGGTACATGATTTGTAATCATTTTTGGTTCATTTTTGATAACCATTGCATGGTTTTGGTCAGGTTTTCCAGGCATTGGTGTATGCATGCGCAGATTATTGTTTAATGCAGCGGGCTGTTTTAACTGAGATTTTTGTTCTTGTTTAATTGCAATCCTTTGGGCCGACCCGGTTTGCTGCATACTATGAATTTGTGGCGAGAGTTTATGAACTGTATTTTGTGGTGTATTGGTCCTTGGTAATGACATAGCAGTTGACACCAGTCTGGGTGCGTGAGGTAATTGCCCCCTCACTTGACCCATCATTAACGGAAGGCCAAGACCAGTAGTTTGCACTGGCAAATAACTGCGATTTCCACTCTGTGGAGATAGTAGTGTTACCGTTTTAGGTGCTAGTGAAATGGCCGATGTCACAACCGGCCTTGGTGCGATATTGATTGGCGTTGATGCACTCGAATTAGAATTATTATACGATGACTTGCCAGTAATAATTGGTGAACCTGTTGCAGTATTTATATTGATAACTGTGGCCACACTTGAATTGTTACTTTGGCTCGAATTGCTTGCGGCCGAAGACGAAGGGACTTGATTTGAACGCTGTGAATGGGGCAAAGTATTTGCCGTATTTGTACCAGATGAACGACCGGCCGATGGGGACGCTAACTGACTTTCCAATGAGCCCACGAAAGCGCTAACGGCCTTTTCATCAACTTCTGTTCCAAGTATATCTTCGATGAACGACGACGCCATACTAAACACTCCAATCTTGAACTATGCCATTAAAAACGGCACAAATCATCATCATCGATAGCTATGCGCACGCATCCGATCAACGGCGCTTCTCATTGGTTGATGATGACGTTTGCTCAAGGACTATGGCACAGGCACATGTCACAGGTGTTAAATTCCGACCGGGTAATGTTATATACGGTCTCTCGGGTAGAGGTCTCTGGGTCTGTGCTAGCCTGCATGGCAGGCGGTACTTAGGAAATACCGCCTGCCGCAAAACTGGGTGTAAATGAACTACCGCCCCTGAAGCATCAACGCTATTTATAGATGCATTAATTAAGTAAATATTCAAAATTAGCCACTCCCAAGCTGCTCCTAAGTCCCAACTGCCCAACATAAAATAAATTCTTTGATTCTCATCACCGCCCGACTGAATTTTAAAATCCTCGTGGAAATGTTTTATATTTTGTTATACAATATAAATGTACCGCCCGACAAAATAATTCAAGACAGTTAATTTTTTCATATTTTATATAGAGTTTTTATTGCCATTTTAAACTTCCAATTTGAAACAAACAGAATTTTGAGTGAAATTTCATTGTATTTTAAAGAAACTCAGTCATTCTGTCATTGTTCTTGGAGATACGAACTATTGATATATAAATTATATAAATATAAAATATAAAAAATAAATCTCCCACTGTCTTCGACATTTCAAAGTGTAGACTGTGTCTAGTGATGAGAATCAAGGAATTTATTTTATGTGTTAATATAAACCAAGCCCATTTTAATAGCTGCCTTAAAACGGTGGTTTAATAAGCTCAAAATACAAAGCATGCAAGTCTACACTATAGATTCGTCATCAGTCAACAACCAAAATGAAAGTATTGAACCTTATAGAACGATAGTTTTTATTTGTTTACAACTATACATATTCAACGGGTATATAAGAGTTTAATTGTTATTTGATAATTACTGCATCAACCGGCCCCTTGTGGCCTAGTTTATACTTTGGAGGTTCGTATATCTATCAAGTATCTTTGGTTCAGAACATGATAGGCCTATATGAAAATCCCACCGTTCGATTCAGTGAAGAAATATCTCCTAATTTCTATCGATAGTTTTAGTAAAATGTCAACATTATTGCGATTTATGGCCTTTGAAAGTCAAGCGAGATCGTATATTATCAAAGTAATACGCATGGTAATTGTCTGAACGAAAATATAGACTAGCCCATACCTTTCGCCGATCATAACTTCGGCCCCTTCGGACGTATCTTCTTTGTTAAATATTCTTGTTCGAATCTCTATCAATAACACTATTTAGAGTGTTATTTTTCAGCTTGTATCTTTTAATTTGCTTCTTTTATTATGTTATTCCATTTCTGGTCTGACTTGACGTGAACTAATTTCAAAACGTAGAGTTTCAAAACGTCAAAACATTTGGTTAATGATTAACATTTAACCGAATTTAGCCGTTGATTGACAACTACATAAAAATACTAACCAATCCGTTTTTCCCGTTCACCAGCGGACGGGTAATTCAAAAACCCCTAGTTTTGCGGCAGACGGTATTTCCTTTGCTTCCCTAATTTTCGCTGCCCGTAGAAATACCGCCTGCCATGCAGGCTAGGTCTGTGCCAGGTCTGTGCCAGTCACTGATAGATCAATGGTGCCAGTGTCGATAGTCTAGGTAGTGCGAATGGCTAGCTTAGGGCCTGCTTAGGGCTACTAGTCCTACTCCTACTAACTTCTCGACGAACTAGGACCTTGGCTCGAAACGTCGAATTTCGCTTTTTATTTTTCAGATAATTGCATCCCTACCAACGAAAGCTTCATTGTGATTTTATGGCGTTTGCCAGCTATACGAACAGGGGCGTAGGAAGCAGGGGGGCCGCCCCCCCCCCAATATTTCATAACGGGGGGGGGGCGGTATAGCTTTCGGTCCCCAAAAAAATTATTGGATTTTAAAAAAATAATAAAACGTTACTGCGAAATTATCGAAACTGGAAGTATTTGAAACCATGTATATCATATTTAATGACGTATCTGCAATTGTTTATTGTTATTTTAATAACAACATTTTTGTTTGTCTTTCGTCATTGGATGTTTTTGGTCTATGCTGCTTGTTAGGCAGCGGTATTTGCTTGCTCAAAGAGCAGTGGCGTAACGCAACCGCTGGGGGCCCTCCGTCAATCGGCCACTTTGGGCCCCTTTGCTCCACTAAAAATAGGCTCCAAAAATTTTTCTCGGAACAATTTATTTTTGGCGAAAAAAATTTTTCGGACATCGTACCATTTTAGGGGTCCAAAATTTTTTCCGGACACACCCAATGAAATTGCAATTAATTCATTCTAGTATCTCGTCCTTTACCTCAGCCGCGACGTACTTAATCCGTCGCAGCTTCGGGAAATTTCTCGACGGATTTTGCCTTTTCCAGAGAATGGTTTTTTTTTATTCAATTCAATTAATTCAATTCCCCAGAAATGTGCTATCAAATTTTTTAAGGTCATTTTTGTCGGGGGCCCCTAAAGTTCGGGGGCCCCCCGTCACTGGACACCCTGACACCCTCCCGTTACGCCACTGTCAAAGAGTTATGGTTAGCGGTTGGGGTGAGGATTAGCATTCATACTAGCGAGACATGAATCCATAAAATAGGGTTATCATAAAGTAAACATATTTATAGTTTAGAAATCATGACAGAATTTGAAAGAGCTTAACGAAAGTGCTAAAGAAGACTCTGAAAATGCCATTTCCGACGATCTGGAGACTCCAAATTTCAAAAATTTTCCCGCTCGGCGCCAACCATCAGGGATGCCGTTAGTTGCTAGGGGCAAGGGGTGCAATTGGTTAACAAGAGGGCATATTCCTTAACAAAAGGGCACTAATGAAAATGAAAGGGCATCTAAAAATTATTTTTGGCGACCTCCCCCCCCCCATTTTAGGGGTAAAAAAAATTTTCCGGACATACCACAATTTTTCCTAAATACGAAAAAAATTTTCCGGACATACCGAAAATTTTTCCGGAAAATGTTATTTTTTCATGTAATTTTATTAAGGTGATGCCCAGAGGGTGATGCCAGCCAATGTGGGTAAATATCAGGATTATGGGCCCATTCGTAGGTCTATGCTACAATCTTTGCCAGAAACTATGGGATAGCTGCTGCAGTTTCATATAATTTGAAAGGAATAGCGCCCCCCGTTCCCCCAGTTCAATTGGAAAATATGTATCAGCAAATGGTATATTACAACCGAATGCATGTGAAAACTAGATTGTCCCAATCTACATTGTCTAAGATTGTAGCTTGACAAAAAGTTTCAAGTGACCATTTCGACTATCGTTATCACTTTATAATGATCTTTGACGGATCGATCAAAGAGAATGGAGACTTTTAATGACTATAAATGCGTCATTATGATGGATCCGCTCATTATCTATTACGTAAGCCAGACTTTGTTCAGTCTACGCATCCTGAAATTCGTAATCAACTAACCCCTGCAGCTAACCCGGTATAAAGTTATTTGTGACATCTTTTGTGCGACTAGATTTTTAGTATTTTTGTCCCCACTGACTCTGTCCCCATTAACACTTTGCCATGATCTTCATCTATAAACGCATTACAAACGGGGCAACGAATTACAATGTGTTAAAGGTAAAGCCCTAGCCTAGCTCGGGTCATACGTGATAAGAGTTTTCTCCATTGATTTCAATGGTTTTCTCTACTCTCCAGTACTCCAATCAAACGACTACGAGAACAATACAAGGTTTAATTTGCAGGTCTTAGAGCAGACGGTTCCGGTCCAAGGTACCCAATGGAAATGGGGAATATCATTGACGGTAATTTATGTCATTTACTGTATGCTCCAACCATATCTCCAACCCAATTCGCTACAAATGGAACATAGATACCCAAGCATTTAAATTATTATGCTATTTATGCAAATGCCTGTCATGCATGGTGGTAACGGGTAATATGAATTTTTTCTGTGCTGGTGTTGTGTACTCAGGTGAATAATATGTTTGTGATGTTACTCTGAGTGCATATCCACACCGGGCGAGCTTGAAAAATATGCCCGGCCACGGTGGGATTCGAACCTACGACCTTTGGAATACTAGCCCAATGCTCTTCCAACTGGTCAGGACGGTTCGAGTAAGTGATATTTCGGAACAGTATCTAGTTCCTTCAATACCAATGTGTTCTTGTAATATGATTTTTTTTCTGTGCTGGTGTTGTGTACTCAGGTGAATAATATGTTTGCAGACCTCTCAACTCTCACGCATTCGGCGTGAGTCTCACGCAATTCGCTTCACTCTCACGCTCTCACGCCACGTTTAGTAAATCTCACGCATATAATAGCAGTTTCATAGTATTTTTTTCAATGATATAATATTGTATTCTTAAATGCACATTATTAATCATTATACGGATCGCGAATCGAATATATAATCACGTGTTATTGTTCCTGCATATACGGCCCGACATTTTGCCCGCAATTTGGACACAAAATAGTACGCAAATTATGTAAATACGGCGGACAAAAGGAAGAATCAGTCGGAGCAGAATTCTATATGTAAATTATCAAAGTCAAATTAAAGCTCATTACTGTATGTCGCAGAAATACAGTTATTGTAACTAAAGTGCCTTGTCTTAAAGGACGTTATTAAGCAATGTATTTCATTAAAAAACACCAACTCTCATATTGTACGAAATGCCATTTCAGACCCCCGGACTTTTACAAAGGTGTCATCCACATCCCCAATCTCACTCTTAACTTCTCTGCAAAGTTGAGAGGTCTGTGTTTGTGATGTTACTCTGAGTGCATATCCACACCGGGCGAGCTTGAAAAATATGCCCGGCCACGGTGGGATTCGAACCTACGACCTTTGGAATACATCACAAACATGGTAACGGGTAATGTTAAATAATTATCCCTTTATAATGACATTCAATGACTAGAATAATCTGTGAACACATCTCCAAAGGGGAAAAGCCAGGGCTGTGGCCAGGGGGAAGAATTAATGAAAGGAAGGAAGAAGAAAGCTTTGTTGGTGACATCATGCATTGACGTCATTGCCACGTCGCGATTTATTATTCAAAAGGCAATATTTAAATTTTGAAAACGAAACATTATCTATTCATATAAAGTCAAATAAATTCATACTAAGCAGCATGGTTCACGTTTTAAGAAGAATGAGTTCAAGCTATGAAAAGTCCACTACATCCCTTCGTTTCAAACCAGAATGCCACACGAATACGGTGCTGGAATCGATAACCGAAATGCGTGCTTTCAGTATTTTAATTGATGTTCATCTCGAAGTTGAAGGACGCCAATTTCCAGCGCACAAGAATATTTTGGCTGCGTCGTCCGACTACTTCAAAGCAATGTTTTCTTGCCCTATCGGCGACATTGAAGCAACTGTAAAGCTAGAAGGTTTGACAGCTAAAGCAATTGACTTAATTCTAGATTTTATGTACCGAGGGGAAATAGAAATTACCGAAGACAATCTCGAAGAAATTTTAGTAGCGTCTCGAATGCTGTTACTTGAATCCGTTACACAAGCTTGTTGTAAATTCACGCAAGACCGAATCAACGTAAATAATTGCTGGGGTATTCGCAACATAGCTGACAAGTACTCGCTAAACAATCTTTTTGGCAAAGTTCATGCGTTTATTGAGGACAATTTTGCGGAAGCGAAAGGCTCGGACGAATTTCTAGAGCTTCCGTTTCAACTCATGAAGGAACTGATGGCTGATGATGAACTCAATATCAGGGAAGATGAACTAGTCTCGGCTGTCTTAAAGTGGGTCGAGCACGATTTAGAAGGCCGATATCAGTATTTGGAAACACTATTCAAACACCTTCGGTTAAATTATATTTCTGAAGAATATATGAGAAATTTGATTCAGCACAATTATATTGTATCAAATCACACTTTCCTAGTAACTCTTATAAAAGCTGTCCACAGTCAGTCAGGCACAGAAACCCTTAACGAGCTCGTTACTGACGAAGAGCTTGCTAAGATGAAAACCCCTCGTAAGTGGCAACGTATTGTGCCCGTATTAACGGCCGTTGGCGGTACCCAAACCCTATTCTACAACACCGAGGAAAAGATCTGGGTGTCGTTAGCGCCAATTACCACACGTCACTGCCCTGGTCTTGCAAGCATTGAATCTGAGATGTTCTTGGTGGGTGGTAGCCGCAAGTGGGTTCGTTTGGCAGACTGCGAGAGGTTCAGCCCAGAGAAGAATACTTGGGAAGATATGGCGCCGATGAGTGTTGCACGTAGCAATATTGGTTTGGTTGTATTGGAGAAGTATCTTTATTCTGTTGGAGGTTATGATGGGGACACCCCATCAAGGTTTGTAAATCATAAATCCCCTTGTAATAGCAAACAAATTTGCATACCAAAATTTCTCTCCTCCCCCTCACAATCTGAACCACCACTACCCCCCCCCCCAAAAAAAAATAATTTTAGTATATATCATCTAATTAGCACCACTAAAAACAATACATTGAATATGGCCTGCCTTCTTGATAAAGAAGAAAAATGGGTTAACTGAACCAATTACTTTTCAGGACTGTGGAACGTTATGACCCAGTAGCAAATCATTGGTCATCTATGTCTTCAATGAATAACCTCCGAGATGGTGCCTGTGTTGTGGCAGATGATAGCAATATTTTTGCCATCACTGGGTTTGATGGAAATTCTTACCTGAGTACCATGGATGTTTACGACCCAAGCAAAGATGTCTGGACCAGTGAAGGTACAGTATGTGTCCGACTTATTACTTTATTCTGTCTAGTGCCAGATAATTTTGCTCATCAAGGGGAGAGCACTAACACTCATTGAGTTAAGTAACTGCACTACATTACCATATTGTGATGCTGGTTAATATCCTTACAGGCTACACCCACATTGGCAACCGGCGACAGGATGCAATGTCTGCATGTGTTGATGGCAAGATTTACATCATTGGTGGTTACTATAATGATGATTGCATGTCGTCGGGTGAAGCATACGACATTGAGGATAATGAATGGATGGCCATCGCTCCGATGTCTGGAGAACGAAACAAAGCTGGATGTGCAGCATTGAACAGGAAAATCTACATCTGTGGCGGGTGGGAGGGCAGCGGGAACGTTCTGACGTCGGTAGAGGTTTATGACACAGAGACGGATTGTTGGACAGCTTTGCCACCATTGCCAACACCCTCTGCCATGAGGGCGACCTTCTTGTATTTCCCCCGCAAGCAAGTTGATAAACTCACTGTCAAGACCAAGGGGAAAAAGCAGAAGCAAATTCATGCAGTGATTACAAGTGCACAGTGATGATCAAATCATAGATAACATGGTTTAGAATAGTCTTATTGCTCCAAAGGTTAGCCTGCATGGCAGGCAGTATTTCTACAGGCAGCAAAAATTAGGGAGGCAAAAGAAATTTCTACGGCCTCCCTAAAAACCACCTGCCACGCAGGCTATCCAAAGGTCAGCAATTTGAATCATTGATCAATACCCTAATGTCCAGATTTAGGAATATTTGTGTGTGTTTGTCTATTAAGCTGCTGTGGTTTGCGTATCAGGTTTTTCAAATATAAACCACACATATCTGCCATTAGATAGAGCAAAATAACAATGTAGTATACATTATGGCGCTTTGCAGATTAATGGATTAAAATTTGTCATCTTTGATTAAACCATGTTTATTTCAAAATTAGCTCTATATATTAGCTATATCAACATTAGCTATATCCATCAGACTTCACCGAATAAGGACAGTGAAAAGGTGTTTTTATTATCCACGGTTTCATTTAAATGCGATGATCAAAAATGCAAAGTAGATGACATTATAAACCGACTGAACTTGGATGCAATTGAAAAGGTTCACATAATCATTTTTGGTTGTAATATGCAACTAAATATACCCAGTAGGCTTCAAAACTCAAACTCATGTATTACAGTATTGCTGTCAAGATTTAATATATTTTAAGAACAGAGTAGTTGTAGAATACTATGAAAATATTTAAATGTAGCTGTATTTTTTTCTTCAATATAAATGCAATTTGTAAAGAAAATAGAATATAATTGTCAGTAACATATGAGTACACTGTGTTTATTTCAAGAGTGTGTGCCACTGTGCCATACTTTAAAACATTTGCAAAGTGAAACAGAGTATGTATAGGCTTGGCTCCAGCCGGTAGGTCGCTCAAGTATTGCCCCTATCCAAAACCGGAATCCACGAGTCAGGATCTTTCGTCTTGAATCCTTTCCATAGGACGAATTGTGCATATCCATATAGATCTTGAAAATGCTAGTAGCATGTGTCACAGACCTTACTTATCTAGTGAGGTATGTGATGCAGGCTAGTCAAATGGCCAACTTCAGCTCATCAAAGAGAACACGAGTTTATTTGCGAGTTTTATTATTTCATAAATATAAAATTAAGCAACTAAGTGAACATCACTTTGTGATATTTATACTGTTAAGAAACAAAACATCGCATTAACTTAACTGCAGTGAATACAGTGCAGTTTCTTTTTGGGATTATATATTAACATTTGGTGCGTTATATTTGCGAGTGCATGTGTCGGTCATTAATTAGTTAGATTGAACAAAGATATTTATTAGCACTTCGACAACTAACTAGTACCATTATCAAGACATATAGGTACACCTACAAATGCGTTTCCTTTGGTTCTGCATGAGTAGCAAGAAAAATTGATGGAAATATTTCAAACACCGAGCATTTACTACCATATATATTTTTTTAAATTCCATAATTTTTCTAGATGATGCTCTTGGAAAAATATACCTAACTAAAATGTAGTTTTAAATAAAAAAAAATACCGAGAAAGGAGGCGACAAAGACTCTTGATTTTTACCATTATGTTTATCATTAATTTATTTGTGTGTTGCACGTTTTGGGGTTAGGCGGTAAGGTGCTGATAAATATCTTTGATTGTGAAAGTAAAAAAATACATGTTTGTCCGCTGACATATCTATGTAAACGTTTTATTGGTGGGGGCAATGATCGTCATTTGTGAATAACGTCTTTATCTTGGTTTAGCAGAGCCAGTCACTAAAAGAAACAAACAAAATTTTTAAATATTTAATGTTTTTGGAAAAGGTGAAAAAATTCTAAACTAAATATTCTTTTAATTTGTTTGTTTTCCTTGTACAAGCTGTTAATACTTGGCAAAATTCCCAGTTAAAATTGGTAAAAATTAACTACAGTTTATAGTACGAAAGTTAAACCAATCAAAATCGCATACTCTAGAGTGAAGTACCATTTTTAACCACAAAATAGTGGTTAAAAAGTAACTAAGAGTTTTGTACAACCGCCCCTGGAGATTACGAATTCAACCACGGAATTTTTCTTAACAACATGTACTACCAAAACAAACAGAAAACTAACTAGAAAGCAGAAAACAAACAGAACATGACAAGAGAAATTTTATGCTACTTACGCTGAAGATGGTAGACGTAACCAGACGCATCCAAAGCGTACTGGCCAATCAGACCAGAGGTGATCATGCTAAATTTATCATCGAGATCTAACTTCACCCATTGACTACCATACGGGTGTAGGTCGTCAACTCCTTCTCGATACCAGACCTCTCCATTATTAGCCACGGCCCAGAGAATACCATCACCACTGCTCTCGATATACGTCATCTTCTTAGGCGCTTTCACTGGGACCCAGGTACGCCCCTTACAATCATCAGCCGTTATACCAAGCCTGAACAGAACATTGTTATCTGTAGTTATAACCCAGCAGCCACGATATCCACAAGTCACGTGCTTGTAGGATCCTTCAATTCGTTGCCATCGCAACCCGGTCGGTAGATCCTTCTGTATACCACCTCGACATACTAGGTTCTGGTTTTGACCAATACCATAGACCACACCTCGTGCCCCAGAGTCAACTTGCTTCAAATACCCGCCAACATTTTTCCACCTCATACCGGTTGGGTTAAGGTAGTGTACACCCGCACGATAAAACACCTGGCCATCTCCCTTGACTGCCCATACGCCCGCTCCACCTGACGAGATGTCCTTAAAGCCGATACCGCTGACTGGAACCCAAGAATGATTGACGTAGACCATTGGTTGACCGGGAGGGCTTACTCCCCACAAAGCACTCGTCAGGCCGGTATCAATCTGTTTCATTTGCAGGACAGGAAGTTTTACCCATTGTCGTGCAACTGGGATTTCTGCAGGTGAACAAACGAAATATTTTTTACATATTAAACATCCTAAACAGAGCAGCTCGTAATACAGTGCGGATCTGGAAAAAGTGATTTAAGTCCTCGACTTTTTCAAATCATCCATATTTGATTGTAATGTGTAATGATTATAAAATGAACATGAATTAGACTGTAGTCTATGATTCCTTAAAGTCCTGTAAAAATTGAAAATGTTTCCCAATCTTATTGCAAGGGTTAATGTTCGTCGTAACGATACCGAAATCAGATCTCACTGTTATCACGTGTGTTATAATGGCTAGGTCTGTACAAGTATTTCTATCGCAATGTAGATTCAAAGGTCACCATGTAGACTACCGTAACCCTCCGAATATAAGCCCCCCCCCCCGTGTATAAGCCCACCACATGTACTAACGCTCCCCTACTCCAAATATATAAAGGCTACTCAAATATAGAAGCCACCCAAACATAAGCCCTTGACATCACTATTGTTTGTCACTATTTCACCGCCTATTACTATACTTGTTTTATCCACTATTACTGTTATCACTTATACACACATGTATAAGCCCCCCCCCCCGTATATAAGCCCCCCTCTTGTAAAAGCCCATCAAAAATCGCTTACGAAAGAATATAAGCCCAGGGCTTATAGTCGAAGGTTTACGGTAGAGATTTATGATGAAAATGAAGGAAAATGATCTAAAAAATTACTTACTGTGTTGACAATTTCTTCCAACGTAGTTGAGTGTACATTTACATTTATACGTATGACCGATGTTCTTGCATTGACCTCCATAACGGCAGGGGGATGATGTACAATGATTGGCTACTTCTAAAAATGTGAAACACATCTCAGTGCACTATAACGATCTAACTCAGGTCTTAAAATATATTTTACAGGACCGTCTGACAAAATGCCCGATGAGTTTGGGTTGAGCAGGCTAAGTTTGGGTCGGACATACAATGTATGATGACGTCCGATGCCTTCAGTTCAGTTTGGCTCGGAAATAAGTCTGAATGACAAGAATTAATATCACAATGTACTTGGTTCTCAATGGTAAATGTCTTACCATCATCACAAATGTGTTTCACGTAAGCATTTCCTTGATCCGTCACCACAAACAATCCTGGCCGCCCAACAGACACGTGCTTAAAACCAAAGCTTCCAACTCGTTTCCAGCCCTTCCCGGTTGGGTTGTCCTCGCTGACGCGTACACGGTTCCAGAGGGTGGTCGTCGGATTAATGCCCCACAATTCCCCATGGTCACCCACTTCAAGCTGATTTAGACTACCACCGACCTTCTCCCACGTGGTACCTGCACAATGGTACTGTGAAACACCATCACGGAACCATATATCGGTACCATCACTAGCCCAACAGCCGTAACTACCACAACTGATGTAGGTCATTGGTTTGGGACTATCAACAGTACGCCAGAATTTACCTAAACGTAACAAAAGTTAATTACTCTGACTATGGTTTATATTAAGCGGACAGAGTGAAATAATTCGTGTGTGCTTACTTTAATATTAGAGACACGCCAATAGAGAGGTTCACATTTTGACTATTGCTACTATTAACCAATCGGATGTAAATCTACCCGATTAACCAAACAAATGCGTATAGACCCATTGCACATGACGTCACAGCGCCGGTGACGATGCATCTGGAGGACAAATTAGCAATCTATGTATAATATAATTTTTGTAAACAAAGCAAATTTTGTAAATGTTTATAATAATTTTGTATTAAAATTGTTAACTTTTGCGCTGTATGTGGTTGTTGTATCCGAACATATATTGTTAGGGAGCATCTGGAGGATACTCTAAGGATTTGTGACGTCAGTGCAATGGGTCTGTTAAGCCAATGAGAGGTAGAGGAAGTCGAATCTTAACCTCTCTCTGGTATAAATATACTCTTTCTTGTTCTGGCTCGTAGTTTCACGTTACTGAATGAATACCATTTTAGGAAATTGTACTTTATGTAAGTTTCTTGTAGAAATAGATGTGAAGGATTGGTCCTGACTAGATATCATTTGACGATGATTCATTCCAACTTTATTTAAATTTTAATTCAACTTTAAGAATGTATCTTAGTACATACCTTTTAGTTTATTACCGGCGATTTTTGTCCGGCAACGGACACTTCCGGATCTATCAAGACCGTACACCACACCGAAGGGACCCGAATCTACCTGTCGGAAGCGGCGGCCAGAGACTCGGAGCCAATTTGTTCCCACAGGATTCGATGACGTCACGCCTTCCCGGAAGTATGCTCTACCATTATTGGCTACGCCCCAGACCCCAGCTTCGCCCGCGCTGACGTGTACCATCTTGCGGGGGACTAGGGTCAAGTTTCGTCCCGCAACGAAGTAGACATCATTGTTCGTGCCGACCGCCCAGACGGATGACGTCATACCGGTATCGATGGAACGAATGTTACTTGAGATAAATATCCAGGGTAATGTCTCTGGGGAGACACCTGTGTATTACAACAAATATGTTAAGTCCTGTATAGACAAGCGAACGTTCCCTCGACAACTTCTCAGGAAAACTAGCTTGTTGACCGAGCACACAAGCAAATGAAAGCGTTGTAGACAGGGAAGGGATGGATAAGTATAAGAGGGGAAGATGGGGATGAGGTGGGGAAAAGATGGGTAGGTGGGGAAGAGCTGGATAGGTGGGAAAGAACTGGAGAGGTGGGGAAGAACTGGACAGGTGGGGAACGGGGGGGGGGCGGAACTGGTGGGGGGTATACATGTCTGCAGAAAAAGGTAGTAGAAAAAACGCTGTTATGTACTTACATTCATTACAAAGACGTCCAGTGTAGCCACTTGGACATTGACAGGTGAAGGACTTATGACCACTGATACAATGACCTCCCGTC